ACTGCGATATACGCGCTTTCGTTCTCGAGCGAGGTGGCGAAGCAACAGCTTCAGATCCACCTCGACAGGTTGGTCGTGCCATACTTCGAGCGTAATGAAATCGATGTTAACCCTAACAAAACGGAACTCGTCAACTTCTCGAAGAAATTTACCAACGTGAAGATCTTCAGGAAGTTACGAGTCAAGGATAAATGCGCTGACGAGCAGAGAAGCGCGCGATATCTGGGAGTTATCCTGAATAGACGCCTGAATTTTCAGGAACATCTGAGCTTGGCGATCCAACGAGCGGGTGCGGCGGTAAAACGAACGTACCCGCTCATTGCACGGAACTCTAAGCTTAGTGTGGACAACAAGCTGCTAATTTACAAACAAATAATTAGACCAGCAATGTTGTACGCCTGTCCCATATTCTGTAGCCTCAAGAAGACTCATTTGCGGAGACTCGAGACGGGTGCTCCGTATTTACACGAACAGTGACAGATACATTTCACTGAATGATCTGTTAGATCTGGCAGAAGTCGAGACGGTCACTGAACACATCAGGAGGCTGTCTTATGAATTCTTCAAGTTCTTTCTACCGAAAAGCCCGCTGACGAGGGACGTCACGTCGCTTATGAGTTATCATAATCATCCCCGAAAACACGGGTTGATTTATGAAATGCTTGATATTTTCCATGAACGGCGCGAATGTGATCGCGCTTAGCTCATGGAAAAGCTGGCTAAGATAAATCACGTATTTTCGTGATACCAGAATTACTCTTAACTGATTTTTTCATGAACTTTTTCCAGGGGGCTAGCGGTGATGAACTTGCAACAATCATCTAGTATATTCATATATGAGGTACCGAAATCGCAATATCATGAGGAATCTCGCTAAGCTTTGGCAGGAAGCGGGAAGTCTCAGACTGAAAGCTGAAATGAGGCTCTGTTGGGCAGAGAGCCACCCGTTAATACCAGCGGGGGCGCTTCCCATCTGCCTGTCGTGGGTCTATGAGGCGGCGCGGCGCTTTACCTTGCGGACGTCTAGGGACTCAATATTGAAGTCTCATTCTGCTGATCCTCCCTTTTCCCTCCCCAATCCTTTTCCCCTCCTCCTACCACTCCGGTATGTGGGAAAGATGTAAATATTGTAAATATTCTGTACAGTAGACCTTATATTTGACAAAGAGAAATGTATAATAAAGTATTTTTGATTTTGATTTTGAGAGTTACAAACAAACATACATACAAACAAGCATACATACATACATACAGGTGAATCTAATATAAAGCGTGTAAAAAACAAAATTGTTTTTGATCGATTGTTTTGAAAACAACAAAAAAGAAGTGTCACTCTTAGCACAATAATTCACAAACTAATGAGTAGAATATAATGAAATTTCAACAGCTTTTTTTTGAAGGTTAGGCCCGAGAATTTTCTGCCCATGTAGTATGTTATCAATGCCATCAATTGTAATGTAAATATGAACTGTAACATGACGAACCCTTTTCTCATGTTCATTTCTGATTGTGATTCATACTTGTTGTATTTATTTCGTGTCAGGAATCACACGTTGAAAGGTAAGACCTCGTTAGTCCTTAGCCCGCACAAGTTTCGACTTCTGAGGGTTGTCGTTCGTAGGGGGCCGATAGCTGGTTAACGGAACATATTTTAAAAAATTAATTGATGGATGTAGCCGTTACTACGTGATAGGAGATCATGATGAAAAGAGAAATGAAAATTTCTGATTTTTACCACTTTTATTTGTAACTAATGTTACTGAGAAATTTTCATTTTTCTTTTCATATTTTGAAAATATTTTTAAATATATTCATTTGACAAATATTCGTGCCCAATTCCTCATGCAAGTGTTAATAGTTGCACCACAATATGATTCCATTTGACGTGAACTGTAATCATCAAGAGCTATCTCAAGCTATTTGTTGATGTGGTAGAGATATTTATTTCATTTCCATCCGATGAAATCAGTGATTATTTCACTATTACTCGCGAACCCTTCTGAAATTCTTATAATTCTGCTAATTCCATATAACTATAATGAACGACCGTTATACAGTTTTGTTTTTTAATGACTATCTCACCGGAAAATCGTCTAAAAAGTCGCATTGAATTTGAAAAGTGGAATTGTAGAGTTCCTTCTCCAGTTCACGGCAGTTATATTATTTAACGATGAGATCTGGGACAAGCAACTTTGTTCATAACTTCTTTCGGCTTTTAATGAAACGTTATTGTTTTCAATGAATATTCAACATCATGAGACGCTGTTTTCCATTTTTTCATCGTCGAAGTTTTGTAACGCATTCAAATTGTATAAAAATAACGAGAATATTTTCCCAATGATCAAACATGTAAGTATGGATGTAAAAATTGATATTTTTTGTGTGGTGTCAAAAATCAAATGAATCACAGGTATGCGAGTAATTTTCGTGCGGTTTTGTATAGTTTTCATAGTGAACATCAAACTAAACCCCATCTGGGCTTTCTTTTGTGTTCTTTTTCATGTCGAAGGTAGTTGTAAAAACTTTATTGATGAACAACTGATCAAACCTGAAATTGATGTCACCTCAAATGCAACAGTGGACTTCCTGGGATTGCATCTTCACGAAACCGAATGAATACATTATAAAAATAATAATAATGGTCTTTATTGGGTGAAATACCATATAACATCCAAAAGGCGAAGTTCAAAACTGCAGTGTAGAACACTATGGATTTGTTCTACCAGTGTTTGATGAGCTTCTGACCAAACACTCGACAAACCCGATCGAACAGCCACCGTATTCACCTGGAATGGCTCCGACAAATTCCTTTCTTTTTTCGAAACTCTACGAAAATATATGATAACTGAATTCCAGAATAAATCAGCGATAAATGAGCTTATGAATTCTTGTGTATCACTAACAATAATGTCATTATTCAAGGCATTATACTAACAAAACTACTATATCTGACCTTTGAGGTTATTTTATTTTCTGTATGCGTTTCGAAAACTCAGTTGTGGCGATGAATCAGATGAGAACGATTGAAATGTAAGTGAATCAGTTGATTGCCCAATGATGAGAAATAAACAAATTCTTATTGGATTTCATTGTTACCATACTCGTCTTATCGATGTTGAAAGTTTTGTTTCAATCTCATCCCATGACGATTTGATGATGTAGTAGAGGATATGCGTTTGTCTACTTCTGAACTGATTTGCATCCATCCTTCAATGAGGTGGTGATACAATGTGAGTTTTTCAGAGAAATATGCATTCGTTAATATTTCTGAGCAACTACTAGGCTCAGGTTCTTCGAAAATCTATTTTGCTAACACCATATACTTTCTTTTATAGTTTTATGAGAAAAATTGATAATAATGAAAGTATGACCACCTGTACTTTTTCTAACCAACGGGGATAACTTCAGCCATTGTTTCTTTTCTGATAAAAATGGTTTTCTCATAAACTGCACCTCATGATTTGATTTCCACAAACTTCATTAGAACACTAGCTTTACTATCAGTGATTTAAATACGACAAGTTGCTTCTTATACTAATACACTAACTATAATTGAGACTACCTCCAACAAATTACCTAAATCTCTACAAGAGATACCTCGTCAGTTATGATCACCTAAAGAATATTACCGCACTTCTACATCAATAATAATTCTTTCTCCGTTTTTCCAAGAATTCATTTTCCATTATCTCAAGAATGCGGTTTACCGAAGATTTTTTCACACCAGTATATTCATGAAGTTGTTGTGAAAACTTTCCAAGATTTTCGATAACTGCTTGAAATACTTTTTGCTGAGTTTCTTCTATGCATATAGTTTTCATATTTTCTTTACTGAAATTGTTTGCTAATCCATCTGTTCAAATTGTTTCAAAGTACTGCATTGAACTTATTTTTCTGAATCGCTCATTTGAAATATCTGCAGCTTCATGCATTGTTTTATAACCATCTCCACAATCCAAAACAAGGACTTTTCCCAATCACCAGAAATGCAATACTCTTCTCGACGCCCGTTTCACCAACAAAGTTGACGTCTCCACGAGATGATGAAAACTAATTCCCAACTTTAAAACTCTCAATTTATATCTAACAGGAGACACTTTCATTTTCCGAAAGTTCTCGCACTCTGCTGAAATTTGCGGGAATTTTCACAAAAAATTTTCACGCAGAGATCATTGATATGTATCAGAAAATGAAAGTGTGCCCTGTTACATATGAATTAAAATTAAGAGTTTTAGAGTTCAGGAATTAGTTTTCGTCATTTCCTGAAGATCTTCATCTCCTGAAGACGCCAACTTGGTTGGTGAAACGGTGATCGAGAAGTATATTGCATTTCTGGTGATTGATAAAAGTACTTGTTTTGAATTTATTCTACGCCAGAGGTTCCAGTTTAAGCTTTCGTCTCCACAAATCAAAACCAATTATATTTGTATTGAAGCAAGTTCAACAAACAAGAACTCTCAAAGTTGAGTTATGAAAATCCAAACTGAAAACAATTTGCCAAATTTTTTAATGCTGTAACATATTGTCAAAGATGAATATAACAGTTACCTAAAAAAAACAAATAAATCCTCCAAGTGAATTCTATTAATATGTGATTTGATTGTGGCTTCTTTCGGACATGCAATGAATCATAATACTGAAAAAATAAGTCATACGGAAGGAAGTAGCTCAAATTTTTCCAAAAAATAATAAAAATTGGAAAATGATGCCATCTGATTTGTATTTTTCGAAAATGAAGCACCATTCTGGTGCATCAATATGCTTATCAAACATGCACTAACTTTTGGGGGTATTCAAATATCGATTGTAAACTTGCAAAACTGCAAACTTAATGGACCACACTGTATGATTGTGTAAATATGAACTGAAAAATTGACTTGTCCCTCAGTTACTGACAAGTAATAATAATTTTATTACTTTTTTTTCAAACCAATTATAGGCCAGATGCTTTCAAAACCTATAATGAAATTATTCGTCCTTGCCCTAATGAACTTACTCACCGTGTTTCCGTCAACCACTGATGGAAAGCATTTGCATGCTTTGCGAATTCCTTTCTCAATTTGTCATTCTCGTCTTGCCTTTGGGCCTCTTTGTTCAGTTCAACATCTCTCTCTGCAATTATTTTCTGCAGATTACGCCAAGTTTCCTCTAAAGCTTCCATATTGAACCAAGTATAAGGATTAGGACCAACATTAAATAGCTTAATTTGTTGATCTAAAGCTGCCAAAGCATCAAAATCAGCTTGTGCGCTAGACAGGGATGCTTGGAATTGGGCATGTGCATCTTTGAGAGCACGTATTTCTTCTATAGAATTGCAACGAACCGGGTCAGTCAGATCCTCTTCTGCGTTTTCAAACCAGGAGTTGAAGGCTGAAGCCCGTTTAGCAAACATTAGGAAAAGTTCTTCAATTTCTTTAAATTGTACTTGCATTCTCAACAGACGTTGCTTTCTTGAATCAGAATCATTCAATAATTTTTGCCACCTAAAAATTTAAGAAAATCAATGAAATAGCTATACACTTCAGAAATAAAACCAACCTAGCGATAACACTTGCATGTCTCTGAAGGATTGCTTGAGTTTGGTCATGATTTGAGGCAATAAGTCTGTCTTTTAGATCAGTTATATTTTGAATTCCCTCATGTTCAAATGCAGTGAGACCTAGAAAAATAATGTGATAATTTAATTCAATGAATGAAACAATGAATGAAACAATTACACAGATCCAAGATTCATTTCTTCAGAAGGAGAAAATATACCTGCTACATAAAATAATGAATGTTACTTTCAAAGTCACCTTGATTGTTCAGAAAGATGATTGACTGTATCTGAATGGAAATGCTTCAAATAATTGGAAATAAAAAAAAATCTCTGAAATGTTGAAATTAGGTGAATTTTGAATGATGAAAAAAGTTTACTAATCAGTGCTTACCAGCATCAAATGTCTCTTGTTTAGTCAATAGGGTTTGCACTGAAGACAAGTCCCTTCCAAATTCCTCACTTTTGACATGAGTCTCCTTGTCAGCAATCCAACTCTCCACAACATCAGCCTTCCACATGAACTGCAAGTAGGCCGAGTTGTCCACAAGCTTAGCCTTTCTTCTACCGGCCAATGCTGCCAAATGATCCAACTTTGTTTGAAGTTGCTGGCAACGTTGGTTTATACTATCTGCATGGTGGTTACCATCTGATACAAGTTTAAATCCTTCATCGCTTATATTCTTACAGCGATCTCTGTGAGCCTGGAAGTCTGTTTCGAAAGCATCATGTTTCTTCAATAGTCCTTGTACAGCAGCCATCGTGTCGCCATAGTCCTCAACTACTAGAAGTTGCTGTTTCTCGCTTATCCAAGCCTCTTCTTCTTCAACTTTGGTTAGGAACTGTTGGTAGGTCAGAGATTCGTCCAGTTTTTGACCTCTAGTAGCTGCTAACTGTTTCAGTTCGGCCCAAGCTTGGTTTAAAGCTTTTAAACGCTGCTCAATTTCTGGTACTCCAAGATTAGAGACATCCATGAGTTTTTCTCCCGCTTCTTGAACTGCCTGAATTGCTGGTTCATGAGATGCAAGTTCAGCCTCCAGCCGTTTGTGTTTTTTCTTGAGATTCTGCACACCCGTTAGATCACGCCCATAATCATCTGATCCAACCAAAAGTTTTTTCTCTCTGAAAATCAAAGAAATCAAGAAAAAATTAAAAAAAACATATATCAAATTACTTAATCCAGGACTCCTCATCTGCTATATCTCTAAAGAACTGATGTAAAGTATTGGCTTCATTCAAACGTGCTTGTCTGTGTGCTGCAAGGTTCTTAATTCGTTCGTATCGCTCGTTGATTGATTGTCGTTTTTCTTGTATAGATGCTGTATCAAACTGTCCACTCTCTATCAAGGAATCTGCCTGATTGTTCATATCTAAGAATAAACTTAGTATCAAACACAATACAAAGTTGACAATAGACATTACCTTTAATTCTGTCCTCATGATGCTGAATATCTGCTTCAACCAGTTGGTGTTTTTTCATCAAATTTTGAACAGAAGCTAAATCTTTACCGGCATCTTCACTTGTAAGTAAACTTTCCACCTCTCCAAGCCAGAAGTCCAAATCTTTTACGGCAGCAATGTATGTTCTCTGTTTATTGGCTTCCTTCAGTTTCAAAGACTTCTCTGTTGTTTTTTGTGTGAGAAATTCCCACTGATCGGCTATAGATTCTAATCGTTTTTGCACGGCTTCTTCAGAGCCAGCACATTGACGCTTGTCTATAAGATTAGCACCATTGGCCAACACAGTTTGTATACGGTCAGCATTGGCCGCTAATTCAGCTTCAAAAGCTTGATGTTTCTGATGTTTGGACTGAATATTGGCAGGGTCTTTGTAACTTTCCTCTGTGGCCAATTGAAGTTTTTCAGCAATCCAGTTTTCTATTTCATCGGCATCCCTTGAAAATTGTTGAAGTGTTTGACTCTCACCAAGTTTAGATCTCTTCTCAATGAGAGCATCTTTGAGATGGCGCCATCTATCTAAAACTTGGTTTCGTTTATCATCAATAGGCACTGAAGCGTAATGTTCCCGTCCAATGAGTTGATCAGCCAATGTTTGAAGTGTTGCAATCTTTTCTTCATGAGCATTGATAGCTTTGTCAAAGTCTTCATGTTTCTTTATTAATGCTTCAACATTATCACCATTGGAATCCACTTCGTCAGAAGCCAGGAAAGCTTCTCTATCAGACATCCAATTTTCAGCTTGTTCACAATCTCGGTAGAAGAGGTTGAGTTCCAAGTTCTGGTCTAATTGTAAACGTCTATCGATCCAGGCTCTTTCTAGGTCTTCTCTGGCATTATTGAGCTGTTCCAACTTCTCTTGAATTTCTGGGCTTGCGTAATGGTTTGAGTTTAGTAACTGCTGCCCAAATTGTTCCAATGCATGGAAAGTTCCTGCTCGAGCATCAATTTCTGTGCGGTGTTCCTAATTTGAAACAAAATTTGAAATAGTGAAAAGCTGAATTGAAAACTGAGGAAATGTATGATAAAGAAGTTACAAAGAAACTCAGCTGATAAGATGCTCCATGTTAGAAGTAGCCTTCATTTATAATGAAACGTTACATGTCAGTTCTCAGTTATTTTCTTAATGATTTAAGAAAATTCTGGATATGATTCTCATCCATTAATATGAGAAAACTTAAAGCATTTATCAATAATAAGGAAGGTGAAGGTCTGAGAAATTGAAATGCTCCAGCCAATACACAAAAATTAGATTGTTAAACATGGAAAATTAACATTATAGTTAGTAAATTATGACGTTAGCACTCTAGGCTCGAGTAACTACCTGGGGCACACGTACGCCATACATTGCATCTATTTCAGCCTTGTAGTTCTAAAAACCGATTAAATAATATAAATCATTCACTACTTCTTGAAGAAATATTCAGAAAGTTATATATTTTCAATTATTTTACATAAAACATTCTCTAACCTGGTGCCGTTCGATGAGAGCTTCAGCGCCAGTAACATCATTAGCCAATTCTTCAGAGCTGACTAATCCCAACATTGAATTGATCCAAGCAAGTAAATCACGATGATCATTAAGGAACCTTTGCAAATCGTATGAATCCAGAAGTTTTTCTTTGCGACTATTTGCCTTTGCAGTGAGTTGTGTCCACATTTCATTGATCTCTTGTTGTTTCAAAAGAGTTTGTTCAGCAGTATCAGGATGAGAAGTCACGAGACGGTTTGCAATTTCATCCAATTGTTTGATCTGAAATATTCATAAACTCATTCAATTTTATCAACAATATTTACACACAATTATACAAACCTTATCACCCAATGCCGCTAAATCCCTTTCTAAACCTTCATGTTTCCTTTGTAAAGCTTGTACACTCCTCAAATCTTTGCCAAGGTCATCATTGTTTAGAGCCTCGTCCTTTTCATTGATCCAATCCTTAGTTTCATCAACATCTCTGTGGAATCTTTGTACTTCATGAGCAGATCCTAGCTGGTTAGCCCTTTCACTAGTCAGCTGCTGTAAACTAGTCCATTTATTATTCAAGTCCTGCATTTGTGTCTGAATCTTTAAGGCGGCTTCTGTTTGACCAAGGGATACAAGTTGCATTGCGATTTCATTCATTTCCGCCAATCGAACTTCATTAGCTTTCAAATCAGTTTGGAAATCGTCAAACTTCTTTTGCATTACTTCAACTTGCTCTAAATCTTCACCAACATCTTGAACTTGTGCATGCATCTCCTTATCTTTAATCCAACCTGCCAATTCAGCTGCTTCACGTACAAGAACATATGCTTTAACAGTTTCATCAAGTTTGTTCCTTCTTTCATTAGCTAAAGCAAGAAGACGGTCATACTGTTGATTGATTTGATTCTGTCTGGCAGAAATTGAGTTGTTATCAATCAGGTTTTGTTGGGATGCTGTAAGACCAGCCTCAACTTTTTTAACATAAGCTGCTGGAACAAATCCTTGACGGTCATGAATTTCCACTTTCCACCAATCCTTGAAAAATATAAAAAATAATTACTTATTTTATTAAGTTGAAAATATAAGATAGTAGTTGTTGCCCGCGGCTTCGCCCGTGTAGAATTTGGTAGTTGTAGTACTAATTAGTACTATGTTGTTGTATCGCTGCATCTAGTGGAGAGTTACAGAAAAATTTATAGCCTAAAAACCTTATCTATGAAAAATTACTTATGGGATGTCAAGTTTCATCATGATCGGTTGAGCGATGTAGAAGTTTATCACTTATCAACCAACCAACAAACATCCATTTTTATATATTAGATATTATATGGAGTGTTGAAATTGAGTTTATGCATAAGATATCAAAGATAAATTAGCCAGCATAAGATATCAAAGATAAATCAGCCAACACTTCTGGAAGAAAGTTTACGATCTCAAAAATTTCTCAGTGTAAAATTCAAAAGACGATCATATTGAAGAGATTACTTCAATCTTTAGAGACTATAAATTCTAGAATACTTCGATTTTGTTCTAGTTACTGTAGTAAAATAATTATATACTAAAGTAGTTTTTGAGTGTGAAAGTTTGCCATTACATAAAAAAAAAGTTTACCTTGTTGTTGGAATTCAACAAATGCAATAAATCTCCTTTCTTCATGGAAACTTCCCTGGCAGATTTTTCAGTGTAATCATATAAAGCCTGAACTGTTTCTCTACCTGTTACATCTACAACAGGAGGTTCTTGTTGCTGAAAGATAAGGATTCATTACTTCAACAAATCTCATTTTCAACAGTTAAAAAACTTTTATGGACTATCAAGTTTTTATTAGATATGAATCCTAAATATTTTTTCTTACCCGACAGCTGCGTGCCTGTTCTTTCAATGCTTCAATTGTATTGCCAAAAGCAGTCAAATCACTCATTAGAGCCTCATGTTTTTTCAACAGAGCCTCTGACGAGTCCTCATCTTTACCATAATCTGGATTGCTCACGATAGGTTCCTTTTCCTTCATCCAAGATTCTGCTTCGTTTGCATCTGCATAATATTGGTGTGCTTGAAGAGAGTCTTCCAAATCTTGTTTTCGCTTAAAAAATATATAATTTATGTATCTTTGAAATAAAGTGAAACTCCAAAAGTCATAGCTAGTAAGTCATATGATTTACATTAAGGCAGCCGTTCAATGCAAGACATTATTTGAAACAAATCAAGGAGGTGTTAAGGTTTTTTTTAACCTATAACCATGTACACTGAAAAAAGACTGTAGTAATGGATATTACTTTAATTTTATTTATCAGATGGATTTGGACTACTCTCCACTTTTTAATGTTTGTTTGAAGGTGTTTGTTTGTTTCGTGGCGTATTTCATTAGTTCGGACTTCCATTGTCAGGGATTCATTCAGGGATTTCAAATCAATTTATATCATATTAGACAATGCAAGTCCGAACTAATGAAATTCTCCACTTTTTCTTGTAGAGAAGGTTGCAAAATAATTCAAAGTTCAAGTAAGTCTCCACGTATTTTTTCCAAATTAGTTTATCTTCTAACCTTAAGATGTCAATGTCACATAAGGATACAGGCTCATCATTACAAAACAAATTTAACAAAGTAAAATCATTCAATTCTATCTGGTCATTGAGCAATTGTCCATATTATTAAATCTAACTTGAATATTGCTGTCTGGTTTGGAACATACATATTTAATCAAATCAATGAAATCTATTCCTCGAAGATATTTAAATCTCTTCAGAGATTTCTGTTATGTTTTTTATAGTAAGCTGTCTCATATAATTTCTGTTCATTTATGACAGTCCAACAAGCTTTTGAAATATTCTTTGAATTTAATGCTTCATGTTTCTCATTTGTTCCAATGAGTCATTAAATAAGACTACTCACAAATTTGTTTTTGGTTTTGAAAATGTATTTAAAGGAAAATATATTTTAATGGAATTTTGCAAAATGTTCACAAACAGTTCTTCTAGAATTTCTACTCTCAGATATTCACACACAAAATAATTTTCCTCAAGCAGTGAGTTTCTAAATAGTCCATGTAGTTTTTTAGTGATGCACAATTTGACCATACTTTCATTTGATTCTATCAGAATTTGATTGGTAATTGCAAATTGTTTTAAGCCTCTAGCTTTGATGAAATTTCTATTAAAATTCTTGAAAGTCTTCCTGAGACTGTGCTCAACATCCTTGTTGCTCCTTCGAGCAAGAAACATTTCCTTCAATTCTCAAAACCTCGGTTGTCATTCCACTCCATAAAGGCGGCAACAATGAAGATCCAGCAAACTTTAGGCCTATATGGCTCATCCCAACCTTAGCAAAAATAATTGAAAAACTGGTAAAAAAAGGATAATGAATTTTTTGACCAGTAATGGGTTATTGAGTGCACATCAGTATGGCTTTCAGAATTTTAAGAGTACAAATGAAGCTATATCAACAGTATTGCAATTGGTGTATAATGAAATCAACATCAGGGAAGCCACTGCAGCAATGCTTTGTGACTTATCCAAAGCATTTGACTGTGTCAATCACAGCATATTGCTTCGGAAACTCACAAGATATGGTTTTAGGGACAGCAGTCATATTTGGAATAGTTCATACCTTTCTTATAGAAAACAATTTGTAATAACGTAATCTAACTCGGGCGTTGGAGAGATTACTTGTGTAATCATGGCCACATATTAGGTCCTATACTGTTTCTGTTATATATTAATGATTTAACCAACATATCAATTACAGGAATCTTTACCTTATTTGCTGACGACACCACATTATTGTGGCAATACAATGACGAAAACAGATTGCATAAAAAATGTGCCAAGACATAAAAAAGTGAAGAATTGGTTTGACTCGAATCTTTTATCATTGAATACCAGCAAAACAGCATTCAATCAATCAATCAAATATACTTTATTGTCTGAAGAACTACATCTTGTAGACAAAGTCATAAATAATAAGATACAAAAATCTACATAAAAAAAAAACATAAAACAGTTTAAACAAAATACAATAAACATAAGCTAAAAATGTGAAATACACTGAGATATTCAGCTGGAAATAACAAGACAGAAATAAAAGTTAAGATTCAAGTGAATCGTCAAGATACTCCTGAACTGAATAATAGGCCCTATCAACAAGTAGCATTTTAACTGCTTTTTTGAATTTGTTAAGCACTATAATTTCTTTAATTCGGGCTGGTAAGTGATTAAACAGTTTGATCCCGTTGAATATAATTGAATTCCTAACAAGGGAGCTCGCAGGAATAGGCAGATCTATGTTACTATTGTGGCTACGAGTATTATACGTATGAGGAAGGGAGAGATGCACAAGATTTTTTTTTTCATCAAGCAAATTGATTCCAAGATAAACAGGGCAGCTACTGTTAAAATACCGTGAGCTATGAAAAGAGGCTTGCATGGATCCCTGGGAGCTGCTTTGCACATAAATCGGACAGCCCTTTTTTGGAGCACAAAAATCATTTGAAATAAATCTCTAGAACAGACTCTCCAGAAGGCAATTCCATATTTAACATTCAAGTGTAATATACCTGATATCCCCCTAGACAATAACACAATAAATATAACTCCACTTTAAAATTTTTGGGAATCATTTAGATGAAAATTTAAAATTCTCTCAGCATATTGCACACATTAACAAAAAATTGGCATCAGGATGTTTCGCACTCTAAGGAACTGGGGTTTGCTGCAGCGAAAGTAGTGTACAATGCCTTAATAGACTCTCATCTAAGGTATGGGATACTCTTTTTGGGTGTTTGCAGTAAACAACTTATGCTCTCGGTTTTTGTCTTGCAGAAAAGGGCTATTAGGTACTTAGGTAAAGCGAAATGGCGGGATTCATGTGTACCCCTTTTCCAAAAACATGGAATCCTTACGATTATAGATAAAAATAGGGAGAACTGTGAATCTATAGCTACAGCCACATACCACACAAGGCGGTCAAATGAACTGAATCTTCCAATTCTAAAAACATGTTTGGTTCATAACTCGTTGATATATAATGGAATCAGGATATACAAGAAACTTCCCAATGAAATCAAAGAGACTCCTTTTATCATATTCAGAAAGAAATGTACAAAACTTTTAAGTGATAAAGCCTATTATGACCTACAAGAAAATTTTGACGATGACCTGTAATTTAGAATGTGTGGAAATTGCGATTGTACTGTGTGTGAAAAACATATTTTTATTTGTTGTCCTAGTTCTTGTCACGTAACTTTTGCATATGTATGTATATATAGTTCATATTTTATTTTAATCATTTACATTTTATACATTTATACTTCACATCTTATACTTCATGTTTATATTAATATTTATTTATGACATTGTGTTAAACAATAAACATATCAATCAATCATATGAATTGATAAGTAGGGATCTAATAAATCTGTGCTAAAATACCTATCAGATAAAAGATTTGTTATATTTTCTATTCATTTATATGATTAAGCAATAACTCTTGTGATCACTGATGGTAATTTCCATATCATACAATTCTAGTGAGAATTTCAAATGAAAAATTATTTCAGAGTTTGAAGAAAAGTCAGTATAAAAATCGTCAAGGAACAACATGTTTCTTCAGTTTCATGAGTCGTAAGAAAAAATTGATGTTTTCTGTAAAAATTCAGGATGTTCTTCATGAGTGTTTGCTATTGTATAGTGTAGAAGTTTTGTAGTAAATTATTTTATAAATAAACCGCTTAAATATAGTTGAAGACTTGATTAAACATTCATAGAGATGAATTGTGAATCTTCTGAGATGAATTAGCTTGTTACTCCCGATCAAACAGCCACCCCAACTATCCAGAATGAATTTGAGTACCAAATATGACAAATTTAATTTCAAATTTGCTGTAAAATCTATTATATGACAGTTACATAATTTCACAATTAATTTCCATATCATACAATTCTAGTGAGAATTTCAAATGAAAAATTATTTCAGAGTTTGAAGAAAAGTCAGTATCAAAATCGTCAAGGAACAACACGTTTCTTCAGTTTCATGAGTCGTAAGAAAAAATTGATGTTTTCTGTAAAAATTCAGGATGTTCCTCATGAGTGTTTGCTATTGTATAGTGTAGAAGTTTTGTAGTAAATTATTTTATAAATAAACCGCTTAAATATAGTTGAAGACTTGACTAAACATTCATAGAGATGAATTGTGAATCTTCTGAGATTCACAACTATCCAGAATGAATTTGAGTACCAAATATGACAAATTTAATTTAAAATTTGCTGTAAAATCTATTATATGACAGTTACATAATTTCACAATTCAGGGTACAGTATGACAAAAACATGCTAAACTATCTACCTGGCTAGATTTCTCTTTGAGTGATTCCCAATGATCGTTGAGTGAAGCCACTCTATTTCTTATCTCGTCACTGGCAAAATGTTCATCTTCCATCATTTGTTTACCTGCGTCGATGACAGTTCGAATACGACCATCATGGTTATTGATTTCTGCCAAAACCGCCTGATGTTTCTTTATCAAATTTTGTACTCCAATTAAATCTCGACCTAAAAAGTAATAATCCATCTTGGATGGTTTCATATACAAGGAAATATTTCGAAAGCTTTTTCAATCTGAAAGTTTTCAGTTATAAATACCTCGATTTGTACTAGCAGCAATAGGTTCCTTTTCTCTAATCCAAGCCTCTTCATCTTCAATGTCTCTGAAGAGTTGTTGAACTTGAAGTGAGTCAAGCAATCTCTGTTTTCGAACTGCCATTGGAGTTTGTAAAGCTGTATAACGATCTGTAAGAACTTTCTGTTTATTGGCAATATTATCAGCATCAAAATGACCACGCTCAACAAACTGGTTCGCAGCTGAAGTAATACTTTCAATTCTATCTTGATGGGAAGCAACATCTGCTTCAAGCAGAGCATGTTTTTTCTGCAAATTTTGCACAGACGTAAGATCTTTGCCATAATCTTCGGACATTAACTGGCCTTCAATTTCTGATAACCAAAGTTCGATATCTTCGATAGTTCGATTGAATTGCTGCTGTTGGCTAGCTTCCTGCAACTTGGAGTTCTTTTTATCTGTGGCTTGTACCAAGGTTTCCCAAAGATTAACGATTTCTTCCATACGAGATTGAATACGGGCTGAAAAAAATTTTCATATCAATACATAATATTCAGTTGATACCTCTGAACACTTACGAGAGGCATAATGTTTAGCTTCAATCAATTCTTGACCAGTTGAAGTAATATCTTCCATTCTTGACTTGTTAGCAGTGAGTTCTTGCTCGAAATTTTGATGCTTCTGTACTTTTCCTCCCAAGTTGGTTGGATCTAAGTAACTTTCATCGGTAGCAAATTTTAGTTTTTCATTAATCCAACCTTTAGTTTCATCACAATCACGTTCAAATTGTTGAAGTTTGTATGCATCTTCTAAGGTTTCCTTACGAATACTTGATTTTTCTTTCAAAGCCTTACGACGTTCTAGAAGCTGTTGATAAGAGATTTTTAAATTAACAGATTCATCACTATAGTAGTCTGTACATTTTTCAACCTCATAATAAAAAAATATTGGGTAAGTAAGTAAAAACAAGAATATATACTTCATTCCTAAACCAGTGTACTGGATTCAATGGTAAAGATAGAAATTGATGAAAATAAATAAAAATGTATAGCAAAATTACCATAGCTCTCCTTTGGGCAACATCATCGGCAGCATAATGTTCTCCATCAATTAACTTTGTAGCAAATTCATCCAGAGCCTTGATTTTCTCTTCTTGTGCTGCTAGAGATTTCTCAAAATCTTCGTGTTTTTTTATGAGGGACTCAACTGAATCCAAAGAGTCACCTAAATCTTCATTGGCTAAAAATGCTTCTTGTTTAGCCATCCATGTGTCAGCTTGCTCAGTATCACGGTAAAAAAGTTGCAAATCCATACACTGTTCATATAAAATACGTCTCTCATCCCACAACGCTGGAAAAAATAATTATGTTACAATGGGTATGGCATTCTAAAACACTAAGACACAAATTACTCACCAATGAGTGATCTTTTATCAGAATCCAACATGGACAGTTTTTCTTTTACTTCATCACTAGCATAATGCCCATTTTCTAGCAACAATTTTCCAGCTTCTGTTGTTGCAATGAAGCTGTCTTCCCTTGCATCAATTTCCCCTCGATGTTCTTGATGTCTTTCTAGAAGTGCCTCAGCACCTGCTACGTCCTTTGCCAATTCATCAGCAGAAATAATAGCTTTCATGTCATTTATCCAAGAGACCAAATCTCTGAAATCTGCTAGAAACCGATGCAAAGCATAAGATTCCTCTAGTTTTTCACGTCTTTCCTATAAATGAAATTAGAGAGTATAGTATCCCAAATATGTATTTTTCACTTACTTTAGCTTTAGCAGTCAAACTATGCCAATAATCTTCAATTTCAGCTCTTTTGGATTGAATAATGTTAGCATGGTCTCCATGGATAGAACACAGTCTATCTGCTTCCTTCCCTAAAGTTGACACTTTGTCTTCTAAAGCTGCAAGATCTCTCTCGACTCCTTCATGTTTTCGCTGAAGTGCTTGAACACTTGCTAAATCTCTTCCATAGTCATCGGAAGAAAGAACAACATCTTTTTCAGCAATCCATGCCACAGTTTCATCTGCATCCCTATTGAACCTTTGAATTTCATGTGCTCCATAGAGTTTATCTTGTCTCATTAGGGTCATCTGTTTCAAACGTTGCCAAGCATTGTTTAGTTCCTCTTTCCTATTGACTATTTGATCTCTTTCTGGATGACCGTCCTGCAATAATTTATCAGCCAGTTCATTTACCTCACTCACACGATATTCCTGAGAAGCCATATCTTTTTGGAACTCGTCAAATTTGCGCTGGAGTACTTCTACATGTTCTAAATCATGACCAAACTCTTCAGTAGAGAGGAATGTACTCTTGTCATTGATCCAAAACATAACTTCATCACAGTGACGAATAAACTGAACTAACACCAAAGCTTGTTGCAGTTTCATGCCCTTTTCAGCAAGTTTTGATAGTAACTGCTCCCATAGTCTATGTAGTTCCTCTGAAATGGGCAATGAATAAGTAAGTTCCTTCTAGATTTATTCCACTTTTACATACCTAATCTCCTTCTGATGGTTTCGCTTTCGTAATGATTTTGATTAATCATTTCTCGTCCAGTATTATCTAAAACAACAATAGCATTGCTGTGAGCAGCCACTTCAGCTTCAAAAGCTTGATGCTTTTGAATTTTTGCTTGTAAATTGGTTGGATCTTTGTAACTTTCATCTGAAGCTGCCTGGAGTTTTTCCAAAATCCAAGATTCTAATTCGTCAGCATCACGTTTGAAGTACTGAAATCTTCTAGAGTCTTCCAATTTTTCACGTTTAGCCCTAGCATCAGCTTTGAAATTGTCATATCTTGAAAGAACTTCTTGTCGACGCTCTTGAATATCTTCTGCAGTTTCGAGGATTTTAACCTCTTTGGGAGGTGGTATTTGATCCATTTTCTATACTTTGAAAGTATATTTTATCTGAAATCAAAAACAACACTCTTGGTTAAATTTTCTACAAAACATATTTCTGAATAAATTTTTTTAATTATTTCTACAATATGTAGAATATGGCAGTATGGTACTCGGTCGTGATTTATAAATTACTCTTAAATGTCGTTCAAGTGCTGTGAAAATAATTTTTTTTTCACTATGTACGTATATGCTCTTTTTATATTGGAGTCAATTTGTTTTCAAAATTCAGAAATGTAACTAAATATTTTCTTGTGGATAGACCCTATTACCTTTGCAAGAGTTTTATGACGATAACTTTTAATTTACACGGAGTATAATAATAATAATATGCTTTATTGTCCAAAGAGCATCAGGTCTTATTGACAAAGCTGCAAAATTTCGTCAGGCACCATACAACTATATATAGATACACAGACACATATATAGAATACAAATCATATTAAAATAGCTTTAATACATAGTAAAAATATATCTGCCCAAATATAGACATACATTGAACAATGTTATCCAAACGCATATAATACATACAGATACTGAAGAGAGATATTGCACATTAAAGAAACAATACCAGAAAAGTTTAAAATATTGAAAATGCAGTATACCATACTTTGTCTATATTCTAAAAATACAGATGATAAAATAAATTAGAGAAAACTGTCTTCATAGAACTCTTCTAAACTATGATGAGGTCTACCACATAATCAATCTTTTACTGATTTCCGAAATTTACAGTTATCCTCTAAAATTTTAATATGGCCAGGTAAATTATCCCAAGACCATTATAATATAGGGAGTCTTGACTAGAGTAAAGACTGGTATGGGTAATATTAGGTCATTAGCTTGAGGAAGGGCATAATTATTGTATGTTGTTTAATGTATAAACAGGCTTTTTTCAAATAGTATATCAATTGACATATTACTTTTCATTATAGTAGTTGAATACATTTCAAGAAAATGTGATTTTTCATATATTAATTTTAATAGTAACACTCCGTATATATTCATTTTATATTTACCTTCATTATATTATTTTTAATACTTTGTTATTACATATTATGACCTGACATTGTTTTTTATTCAAAACATTGTCATTATTCTTAGCTTTGTCAATTAAGATTATTATTTAGAGAATAAAGCTTATTTATTATTTCTATTAGACTTATACATTGAATATAAAAATATTGAATTCATAATTACATCAAAACTAACGAAAGTTGTAAGTTGTAAAAAAGGTTTTTAGATTTCTACGTCTCCATCATGATATACACAATTTGAAAAACTTGTGAAGAAAGGATAAAGTAATTCCCTTCAATATAAACTCTTTACATACATACTTTTCAAAAAAGGAGTTGAAAACAAGTGTTTTTGTCCAAAATTTCTAGAGATCCACCTCTTATTAAGTTTTGTAGCATTCCTATAATTGATTTATTTCAATTTCATAAAAATGGATTTTAAAATTCAATAATAAGTTTTCCATGGATTTATTTGACAAAAGAAAAACTCTCTTGACTCTACTGGCAACGGACTAAATAATATCAAAACAACTAATGTTTATTTCATTGCTAACCAACATCCTCCTTCAGAAAATAAAAAATATCCAAGCTTTTCTTCTATCAAATCCAGGCTCTGTATATGCTTCTCAAAAAGTGTTTTCCCAGTATGTTAGCAACTTGATCATGGAAATTGACATACATCAACTCTATTATAAACTTCAGTTACCTTTTCACATACAAAATGGTATTTGAAGTCTATGTGTTTCAGTATCTTAATATCTTCCGGATTCATTGAAACTTTTATTGCAGACTTATCATCTTCATATATAATTGTGTGTTCATTCATTTCTCATCCAAGTTCGAGAAAAAATGTTGAATCCAACATAGTTCAGCAACTGATTGACTAATAGACATGTATTCTGCCTCTGTAGAAGACAGGGTGCTACCAAACACTTTAAATAAATAACTTGAATTGACTTTTTGTCTTCAGTATCTTCAGCATTTCCCAATTTGGTGCAGTTTGATATTTACTCAAAAATTGAATTGATTCGCACAATCAGAAGAAGATAGTTTTAGTCATCTTCTGACAATGCTAACTTGGTTCGCAAAACGCACATCAAATATAGAATTATTGTTCTTGTGAGGAAAGAGTGTTTTTGAGAAATTTATTTTAGGAAAGAGATTCCCATTATACCTATCAAATGATGAAGTACAAAGCCAAAAAACTTTTTGCCAAAAACTAATATCTCCTGAAAAATATTCTCTTTTCAATTTGTATAAGGTACTTCATCCAATTATTTGAATTTAACTTGTTTTTTAGGATAAACATCTATTCTCTGAAAGACATTATTTATTGTGGAGGACTTTTCTGGATTTTCAACCCTCCACGGCCTGAAAAATAAATAAATAAATGAATAAATATATAGATCAATAGAAATTCTGCTCGAGTGTGATAAGGCCAAACTGAAACGTTCACCCCGAAAAATTACTGGGTATTATAAACCTTTGAAGAGTCCAATTGGTCAGTAACTTGCCGTATTTATAAATTTCCCATGCGTGTGTATGTAAAATATCGAATATGACATCTTGACATTTTATTCTTATCACAACTGTCAAAAGAAAAACATATTTCAAAAGAGGTGTACTCAACAGTAAGTTATTCAGGTTTTGATAAGGGAAAACGAATTTCATCCATAACATTAGCCTTCTGAAAAAGCTGAATATTGAATTGTTTTTATTTTTTCCATCATTTTATTCATAGGCAAAACTTATAAATACCAATGGACTATTCAAAGCTTTATATTATATATCTTTGAAGGGTGAACTTTTCAGTTTGACTTCCATAACTCTTGAGCAGATTCTCTACTTATCTATATTTATTTATTTTTCAGATTGTGGAAGACTGAAAACCGAGAAATCATCAAGGAAAATTCTTTTACCGTTCAATAAGCTAAGTACCTTTTGATAATATGAATTTAAAGATTTATTCTAGCTATGGTCATCAAGGAAAATTCTTGTAACGTTCAATATGCTTCGGCATCTCTTAATAATAACTTGAATTTTAAAGATTTATAATATATTATTATAGCGATGGTCAATCGAATTTTAGCAAGTGCAATATGGCCAATGTTTTTTTATTGTATTTTGACATGTAAGCAACACTGATATGTATATGCAACGTAATGTTAAAATCTTATATTCATGAAAATTTGCCTGTGAGAATCACGTCGTTTCATGTTGAAACCAATCTAATAATTCTTTTTTGTGAAATAGACATCCTACTAAATTCCTATGCTGAAAACATATAAATATCATCATTGTTTCCAAATAATATGTAAATTTACAATAATTGCAGGTAAAAAATAAAATGCCTACTTATTTTACCTGAAAGAGCAGAAGGAATAGAATGCTCATTATTTCGGTAGACTTTTTTTAAACTACTCAGATAATACCTTGATAACATTCAGAATCCTACTAATGAAGATTTGGATAACATGTTCAAAACAAAAGATGTCTTAAATTTATTGCATTTTAGATCAATTTCATTACAATAATGCACTTCCAGTACAAAAAATGCAATAAGTGAAAATTTTGATTTAAAAAACCATGGAGATCTAAAAAAATCAAAGAACAACATCAATTGATATATGGCATATTGAAATTAGTTAAGTACACTGAATATGAACTACTCAAAACTGCATATGAAGAAGTAGTCAAGAAAAGTTAGTCAGTATAATGACTGATCATCGTCAATCGACTGTGACTTGACCAAGGTCGCGCTCAACTCTACTTGTGTTTCTAATCATTCTATCAGCTTCCTAAGACTTCCAATGGCATATATAAACACTACCTGGCATCGGTTTTCTCCAAAATGATAAATGTCTCCGAACCGAATATAGTAATGTCAGGACAGACAATTCAGCTTTCTGTTGGGTGTTAAAATGGACATCACTATGTCTTGGCACAATCATGTCGCTGGAATTGCAAAGGCTGCTTCTCAAAAGCTTAGAACACTGTTCGTTTCCAACCAGAAATTTGTACCTCAACAACTTTTAATGCTCTATAAAGCTCACATCAGACCTTCTTTGGAGTATTATTCTCTTGTATGGAACTACGCCCCCAAACATACCCAAATGACTAATCTCCAGCGATTCAAAACCAACGTTAATCGCTACTTTCACACAAGCACCACTCCTAGAGCGCCTTAAGGATTTTCCTGCAGTGCTTGTGTTTTGTACGAAGTGATCTAATAAGGCGATAGACATTTGAATAATACTTTGAAGTTTCTGTTAAGGTGTTTGGTTGTATTGTCAGTGTAGCAGTGAAATAAGTTAAGTTTATTTGTACAGTGTAGTCAATTATTGGCAAATCCATGGGGAAAAAGTAATACTTACAAAGAAACCTATAAGAAATGAACGTAGAAATAAAATCAAAATGCATCTCATTTGGCTTCAATATTGCATGACTGCTATTGAACAGTCATATACTTATCTGTGGAAAACGATGATATATACAGCTGATTAAAATCAAATACTAGAAGAAAATAAACCATAAATTAGGACAATTCAAATGCCTGGGTTTTAATTACATTTTCCTTAATACAGATCAACTTTAGCTCCTGAATCTTCAGGTTTTCTTTAAATTCTGGCAGTATTTCCCCATATTGAAATGATAAGATATAAGTATTCTCCAATAACTTTAAAAAAATATATGATTAGATAATTGTAAATAGAATTTGAAAAGCTCTTAGATAAGATAATTCAATATGCTCATTCCAAACATAAGGTTATGCTCAATCATTGTCAAAGTACCAAGTTCACCAATGCTCATACCAAAAGTTTTAAATTTGGGGGAAGTCATTGAGAAAAAATCAATGTCCTCAAAGTTTGAACCTGAACATCAATAATCTGATTTTAAACATCTAGTTTGACAAACAAATATCTATTTGTTCAAAACAAAATGACCCATTCAAAAATGTCCCTGATAACAAAATTAAGTAATTTAGAAGCCATAAACATTTTATCAGTACAGTCAAAATGGTCTTAACTACACACCTTCTGTTTTCCAACATTTTCAGAAAGTTAACACAGAGTTTCTGTTGACCTCTCACGTCGAGAATTTAATATTTTATGACTCATCTTCTTATCATCTTATCTTCAATACACCTGAGAAATCTGTTTCATAGAAAATCTAATATGAAATTTGGAAGAACACCTCAATGAATAACCTATAACAATTTACAAAACTCATAAATTATTCACAAAATGAACAAAACTCCCCAAATAAAATAAGATCTCATCAAATTTGCAAATAGGATACCACCTAGTATGAGGAAAACAATAATTTTTAGGACCATCAAAATTGTTTAATTCAAAAATATTGAGAATAGAACTCCGTTCTACTAGTGACAAGGAGACAGTACAGTTTGGTAGTGATAATGGAAATGTTCAATGAAGAAAACATTTATGGAAATATCTGCTGGCATTTTTTTTGTGTCAGAATATTTTATAAATCATGGCGTAAGAGTAACAGCAGCTTGAGTAATTCTTCTGATTATGCGTTTAGATGTAGATTTGTGCACACGAAAAAAATCGACATGTACTACATAAAATATACCCACTATGAATAACCTTATTAAAATGAGAAGTTGAGTCAATAGGTCTATTTCATGATATCTGGAAAATATTTGTCACTACCGTTGTGATTTTTTTCTATAAAATATTTATTTATTGAATTTGCCTTATATTCAATATGTAAGTTTTATATCATTATATTTGATAAGGGTTGATGTATTTTGTTATTGTTTTCACTTATTATTCTCCAGCATCCTCTCATGATATTATCACTGTTCTCAATATGCACATTATTTTTTGGTTGTAAGTATTTTTATAATTTATTTGTATTCTTTTTTGGTGGTATTATAATGTGAATAGTTTGAGTTGTTCAATTCCTTTTGTAGCCTGTTCATTTCACACCAATAGTTTTTGCTTGTCTATTTATTTTGGGAAAAACTTATAGTAGTAAAAGAATGTTTCGTAAAATGCTAACATTTTTTATTACAGTCAACAGTTGACGGTATCAATCTAGTGTTCAGTGTCATACAAGATACTTACATCCTTTTTCTGTAGTATGTTTTGATCGAAACATTTTGCTAAACCACCTTGTTAATATAAAAGGTGATGAAGATTGATAAACCCTTCTTTCTTCCTGAATTTAATGAAGTTGTGGTTTCTCTGGTTTCACTTATAAAAAAGACTGTGACTGATCAGGACTTTCTTCATTTTGGAATCGTGTCTTGTTGTTGTTATCCAAGAAATGTTGTCCATGTTTGAAGTCAAATTTTTCAATTTTGATTTTGTTTGGGCAAAATTATTCATATGCAAGTTAATTGAATTGAAGTTTCACTCCCACCATTCTTTCTTGGAGTTTGAGTTCTAAGCTTTTACTTTCCAAGTTTTTGGAATGTTGGCTTTTTTTCAATATAGGTATTTCTCAATATTTTCAGTCGATGTTTGTTTGAAGGTGATTGACAATGTTTCATGATGAATTTCATTAGTTCTGTCATATTTTCTTGTCCATTATTCTTTTCATAAAAATTTTCATCGGCACTTCCATTGCCAAATTTTGGTTTTCTTTTTTTTGTACATGTTGTCTATTTCTGTTAATTGTATTCTGATTTGGATTTACTAAATGAGTATAGAATTAACATTTTTCTTTGCATCAATTCAGCATTTATTTCATTAACAGTTATTTCTGGTACATCATGTGTACTGGAGTTTTCTCCTGGTTGTTAGTTGTTTTTGGCACCCAATAACGATGTTTCTTCATTTTATTCACTCTGATTTGAAATAGAGATGATGGTTTTTATTTGGTTTTTGTTTAGATCCTTTGTAATATTTTTTGTGCCAGTGACTGATAAATTGAAATTTGTTTGTTACTTAACTTAAGGAATAATTCAAAGCAGTTACTATGAACTTCATAAATGTTTAATTCATACATTACATACAAGAGGCAACAGATTAGTTCATACATTATTCACTTTTGTTTACATACAGTGTTTTTGTAAGTAGGGTAGTTCGTGGGGGTTTCTGTTATAGGCTTAGGCCACTTCAGGAATGAAGCAACCAATGTGAATAGGAATATATTTAGTAAAAAGAGAATAAAAATAGATTGAATAGTATGCTAACAAAAAAAACAGTTATAGTATTACCTATCTACTGAAATATACAAGTCTTAGCAAAATTCAGCAGAATCTTCGAACATCATTGATGACATAGAACTCTAGTAGGATAATGATGAATTTCTATAATGTATATTCATCTCAAAATAAATCAGCAAGTTCCAATGCAAAATTTTGGAGGCCAAATCTTGAGAAATGGTCTCTTTCCTGCTTGTATTCACTTTCGAAGTGAAAAAATTGAAAGTTTTCATTCATTTAAATCAAAATTATCCAATCTTCTATGTATAAATGTATTTCATTTCATGAAAGAGTTATTAACATTTGAATCATATTATCTATTTATTCATTTAGAAGAAAAATAAAACCCCTATTTTACAGAAAAATTATGCAGTAGATAAAAATTTAACCCAACCTAACAATTCAATATAAGTCAAGTAGGTACTAGGCGTGAAAATTTTATTGAGTGTTTTTTTCATTTGAGCAAAACTAATTCCTGTGAGTTTACATTTGAAAGAATTTCCGAGTCGCATGAGTCGTGATATTGGGTTGAATTATTTGTAATTAGTGGTATGGTTTGGTAATATTAACAAAGCAAAGTTCCAAGTTGCTTTGACCGGAATTCTGAATAACAAAGTAGATAACAGATCCGAACAGTTCAGATGACCTATAGAAATAAAAATCCTTTAAAGTCCTACGTTCCTCTAGAGTGACTAGATTCAAAATAGTTAAGATTGTATTCGTAAGTACCCGACACAAAACATTACATGTACCGAATAATAAGGAGACCATATAGTTGACGCATATTCTAGATAGCCCTAGAATATGCACTGAGCCCTATTACATAATAAAACCCAGTAGTTGTAGAAACTTACTAATTGTAGAATTCATATGAGGAATGAAGGTAAGAGAATTTTCAAAGATAACACCTAGACCACGAGCCTCATAAATGCTACTTATTAAATGATTGTTCATAGAGTAAGTAAACTCAATGGCTACTTCCATTCTAGTGGTTACTTTTTTGTTCTGTGAGTATGTGTTTTAATCTTGTGTTTTGTTGAATTTAAATATCTTCTGTGCAGTCTTTTGAACAGCCTCTCGTTTTATTTTTGAAGTTAATATTGTTTATATCAATCTTGTAATACTTATACCATGAATAAATATATCTATTGTAACTCCAGCATAATTATATCATAATTAAAAGTATTTCAGAGTTGTTTTGGGAAATAATTTTGTTAAAAAAGTCAGAAAATCCACCACTGAGAATACAATGCCATTTCTTCTATTACTCTTGGTAAGTACCCCACAGTATACTGAATATCCTTTTTTTTTTTCAAGATAACAAATTATATGATGATACATAATCATTTTTGGATGGATTCGTGCACTTCTCCAGTCATATTTCGCAAGTTATTATCATAAAAATTCGTCGTTTATTCGAAAGTGGTTGACAATGTTTCATGGTGAATTTAACTAATTCAGACTTCCATTGTCTAATATGAATCATATTAGAATATCTGAAAGAGATTTCAAATCATATTATACAATAGAAGTCGGAACTAGTGTCATAGAAATTCATGTTTTTCATTTGTTACTACTAAAAACTTTCAACTCGTTCACATAGATGACTGGGTGCATGAATACCTGCTCCCTTATATGAAAGAACATCAATTCATTAGATTTTTTCAATTGTCAGATAGAAATAGCACTCAATAATATTTGATACAGGACACATTACATCATTACCCCAAATAGGATTACTTGTCATCCCATTTAATGTCATCAAACAGGGTCAAGTGGATAAACGGGTGTGGTACTGTTGAAAACTTAATATATTTTCATGATTAGGTAAAATATGTACCCTTTTATCTACTCATGGGGATAACATTCATTATGCTGAATTTTAAACATTTTCGTGGTATCTCAAGGAAAATCGATTTTGGAATTAATTATCCTATCATCTACCAATATTCGAAACATTTCTTTTTCAGTGAAAGGCTTGATCGAAAATATCGGTTATAAAACATATTTTCCAAAGTTCCTGACTTACCTTACGAACAGATCACTATCACTAATCACTGTTTGAAATTTATTTTCCGGAGAAAATTAATTTTTTCTAAGCACAAATTAATTCCCCACTCCAAGTCAACGCCTAACAACAGACGAACGACGAACAGACTCAAGCTTAGGCCAAGTCCACAAATGGATTAATTCTGCAGATAGCTACATGAAAAAAGGATAAACGAAAATGTAGCCAATGGCCATGCGTTATGTCGTATCCGCATTCTGTCATTCGTGCTTGTAAACTGTACTTTACATTTGCTTGTTAGGACATTGAGTTCCTACAAATCAATTTCAGTCCGATTTTCGAAAATGAAATATCTTTGCTCTAATTTCAAACGACACCATATTTTACCCACCAAACCCTAATCACCCAAAAAAATAGTATCTTTCGAGGAAGACAACTATAGATACTTGTCAAATTTTGGAACTGTGCCAAGTCCTGCGACAATTTCATGTTTTGAGGCAGATGATAACATGTTTTGGTCGAAAACAGTTGCATTCGAGTTGACGACCGATCAAGTGAGCAGTTCTTTTCACGCCATTGACATAGTATTACTTGAACTTTATTGAACTCTCCAATAAGAATATCAAGATTATCACTGACATCCTGCCAATGATCTTAAAAGTAATTTGCGCCTATTGGCAAAGTAGGTATTCAAATACTTTATTTCAAGTCGTGTGTTCCACTAAGCGCTTACAACGATAAAAAAAATCCATCTTTCTCGAACTAATTTGACTAGTACGATGAAGTCTTTATATTATACCTAAAGGTTTGAATATATTTTGAGTATAACATACTCCCACTTTCGTTGAAAGATTCAATAAATGTTTTCCAATTAAAAAAAAAACTCATGAATTATAACTAACTATATCTAAATTATATATAAAATATCATCCTTGATATTATTTTTTCTGTTTGGTAATATATTTATTATGTATATCCTCATGTTGAAACGTTGAAACCATTCTGGAATCAATGAAAAATGGTTTTTATTTTTTTCCTTTTATCATATTATCATTTTTGTTATTTATGTCATTTATTTATATATTT